CCAGGGTTTCAGTTCTGCTGCCCCCTCCTTCCTCCACCCATAATGGAAAACTCCATCATTTTGGGGTCTCTGTGCCCGTCGGCTCCGACCACCACATCCCCACCAGTCACAGAATCATGGAATGGTTTGGGTGGGAAGGGACCTTAAAGAGCATCTCAGTCCAACCCCCTGCCATGGGCAGGGACACCTTCCACTAGACTCAGAGCTCAGAGCCCCATCCAGCCTGGCCATGAACACTTTCAGGGATGGGGCAGCCAGAACTTCTCTGAGCAACCTGTGCCAGGATCTCACTACCATCACAGTCCAGAAATTCTTCCTAATATCCCATCTAACCCTTCCCTTTCTCAGTGTGAAGCCATTCCCCTTGTCCTGTCACTCCAGGCCCTTGTCCAAAGTCTCTCTCCATCTTTCTTGTTGGCTCCCTTCAGGTACCGGAAGGCCACAATTAGGTCACCCCAAAGCCTTGTTTTCTCCAGCCTGAACAATCCCAATTCTCTCAGCCTTTCCTCACAGCAGAGCTGCTCCATCCCTCTGATCCCCTTGGTGGTCCCCTCTGGACTCGCTCCAGCAGGTCCATGTCCTTCCTGTGCTGGAGCCCAGAGCTGGAGGCAGCTCTGCAGGGGTGACAACATCACAGCCCTGTGTGTTCCAGCAAGGACACTGTGGAACCTCCTGGAGTAAAGGGGCCATTGTGACACTGTAGGGCCTTCTGGAGCCAAAGGAACCCTGGGACACTGGGCAATCTCATGGAATCAAGGGAGCATTGTGACAGTGTGAAAACTCATGGAATTAAGAGGTCATTGTGATACTGCAAGGCCTCATGGAACCAAAAGAAACCCTGGGACACTGTGGAACCTCATGGAACCAAGGGTTCCTTGTGCCATGAAGGGCCTCATGGAACCAAGGGAGCCCTGAGACATTTCGGGCCCTCATAGAATCAAGGGGCCATTGTGACACTGAGGAACCTTGGGGACTCAAAGGCTACTGTAACCAAAAGGAACCATGGAACCAGGAACCAGGGCCAATGGAACCAAAGGAAGCCTGGGACAATGTGGAACCACATGGAATTACTAGGCCTGTGACACTGCAGGGTCTTATGGAATGAAAGGAACCCTGAGATTTTTCAGAACCTCATGGAATCAAGGGGACACTGTGACACTGAAGAGCCTCATGGAGACAAAGGGACCCTGGGACACTGTGGACCTCAAGAAATCAAGGGCCCATATTGGCACTGTAGAACCTCATGGAATCAAGGAGACATTCTTACACTGCAGGGTATTATTGAGCCTAAGTGACCACTGGGACACTGTGGAACCTGATGGAGTCAAGGGGCCTTTGTGACATGTGGGGCCTCATGGAACCAAAGGATTCCTGGGACATTGTGGAATCTCATGGAACCAAGGGCCACTGTGATATGTGGGGCCTCCTAGAACCAAAGGAGTCCTGAGACATTTTACAAACTCATGGAATCAAGGGTCCATTATCACACTGCAGAGCCTTACGAAGCCAAATGGACCCTGAGACTCTGCGGAACCTCATGGAATCCAGTGGCCATTCCCACACTGTAAAACCTCATGGATACTCTCAGGTTCCCATTATTAAAAGACGCCTCTGCCCAAATTCAGCTGCAAAGGAGACCATGTACCAAAGTCAGCAGTCCAGCTTTGATTTAACAGTAAATAGGAGGGAGAGAGAGAGAAAGGGAGAGAGAGAGAAAGAAATAGAGAGAGAGAGAAGGGGGTGGTGGGAAGCCAGTGAGAGAGAGACAGAGATGAAGTAAATGTATCACACCATGGAGATCCCTGAGGCTCCCGCTGGTCCTTCTTCACCCTGCTCTGCTCGGTGGAGGGTCCCCAAGTTGTGCTTCTGGGCTATCACTTTTATACAGCCCAAGCCCTGGGTATTCAGGGGGGTAGATGCTGTTCCCACAGCTTGGGCTGGCACATCTACAAGGACTTGCTTCCTTTCCCACACCTTGCCATGGTGGGAGTTTTGCCCGGTGTGCTTCCAGTCTGCAGGTGGGAATCTTTGTCTGGATGGGTTCCCCAGACCTGCCTTACCAGCCCTGGCTTCCTGTTGGGGCTGTCTGCTCTTTCCCACAGTCTGCACAGTGCAATTCTGGCCTGGGGGCTACTTCCAAAGCTTCACCTCCCTTTTGGCCTTGGAATTAAAGGCCTTCCTGTTTGCCACCAGTGCTTATGTGTTGTGGTGCCTTATGGGATTTTCCTGCTTTGACAGTGTTTTGAGACAGTTCATTGTGCCCTTCAAGTCCTTCCATGTGCACACACACACCACTCTCACCAGTGTCTGGCCCTCCAAAGAACACAAGCCCTGATGATTTGTAGCTCCCACTCCAGTGGTTGGCACTTGGACCTCCCTCCGTACCCAGAGCTCAGAGCTCCCTTGTGCCAGAAAGTTTAAAGAGATTGTGCCTCATTCTGCCAAGAAAACCCTTGGAAAAAAGTGTCCCTCTGTGTTTCCTGGGATAAGAGCACTCTATTGTCATCTTCCAAAACCTTGGAGAGGTCCCAGAGATCTCCCAGGAAGGAATTTGGGGCCTCAAGCACATGACCCGTATATAGAGGCTGAGGACTCAGGGGTCAGTGGTGTGAAGACTGAGGACAGTAGAGGAGCAGCCTGAGAGGTCTGGAAGGGGGGTGTCAGAGCTGGTGGAGCTTTTCTTCCTGTCAGAAAACAGCCTAAGAAAGAACTAATGCCACCAAGGGCAGCTGGGGTGGCCTAGACTGGTGACAAGAAGTCAGAAATTTCCCTCTGAGGTCAGTGTTGTGGTGCAATATGTCACCAAGAAGGAGTCTGGATGAGCCCAAGGCTTTGTGTGTGCAGGAAGAGCCAGGGAGGACGCAGAGATGTCAGTGCAGGAAGGTGCCAGCCAGGTGGGGCAGCCGGGGGGATGACGACAGCCTGCAGGGAAAGGGGCAGGGCATGGACACCGTAGGACAGCCTGGGCTGGAGAGGAGACAGGCATGGGGAGAAGCTGAAAGGCCCTGACAGAGCCACCTTCTGCAGGCCTTTGGCCAGGGCTGCTGTCTGTGCCCCTGATGCCAGGAGGAGGGGAGTGCCCCTTGCAGCCCTGGGGCCTCATGGCCTCCTTGTCCCTGCTCAGCAGCCTGGCAGGTGCCACCCCATGGTCCTGCCCTTGGCATTGCACATCCCACATCCCAGTGCCCCAGGAAGAGCCCTGAGGAATGAGGCAGGGACAGCATCTGCCTTCCCAGGGGCTGGGGGTCAGGGTTGGCCCTTTGGATTAAGGAAACAAGTCAAGGTTTGTTCAGCATCAGAGCCACCTTTCCCTTGCTTGTCCATCCTTGTCATCACTGTCTGCAGTTTTCTGCTCTAACTGGAACCTGGGGACATGTTCTCAGTTGTGTCCCTCAGTGAGACTCATTAGCACTACAAGAAACTTTAGTGTTTCAATCTCACTTTGAGTTCTTGAAAAGTTTTTTGAACTTCCTCTCAGGGACTGAGTCTCATGTAAACAACACCAAACCCCCCTGAGGGTCCTGAAATGCCTGGGGCTGTTGCTGTGCTGCTGAGCTGGGCAGGGCTCCTGGCACACAGGGAGCTCCTGGCAAGCAAGAAGAGCTTCAAAGAGACAGCTCTGCTGGTGAGCAGCTCCTCTGCACAGCCCAGCAGGGCTGAGGGCACTGCCAGGCCAGCTCAGGGACACCAGCAGGGCACAGACAGAGCTTCAAGGGGCTCAGCACTGGCAGGATGGCTGAGAGCTCCCTGCAGGAGGAATCTTGGCAGGGTGCACACTGTGAGTCTGTGGCTGCAGGGCAGTGCAGGGGCAGCTCCTGGAGGCATCTCCTAAAGCTGGCCCAGCCCCAGCTGATGGGATGGGTGAGCAGGGGGCTGTTTTGGGGCCCTTTGGAAGAGCTGTGAAGCCAGGGGTGCAGGCAGGGGTGCCCAGGGCTGTGGGGTAGAGCAGGGTCCTGCAGCCCAGGGTGCTGTGCTGGGCAGGGACTCTGCTGCCTGCCAGGGGCAGCTCTCAGCCGGCCCGGGGAGCTGCTGCCAGGGCTGGGGCAGAAGGGCTGTGGGCAAGGAGCAACCCCTGGGAGGGCAGGGAAGGGCTCTTCACCTGTTTAGAGTAGGTTGCAGGTTGTGAGGGCTGCTCACAGCTCCAGGTCATTACAGAACATTTCTCAAAGGAGTTTTAAGAAAGCACAGCCAGTCATGGGATACCTGAAAGTGAAGGATCCTGTTCTTTCCATCTTCAGATATGTGTTTTCTGGGCAGGAAATTGGTCCTAAAAATTAATCTCACAGTTCAGGAAGAGGCACTGAAACTCCAAATCTATTTCTCTTAGAGGAGATAAGACCAGGCAGCATCAGAAATCACCACATCTCTGCCTTACATGTAGCTCTGGGTCACTTTTCCAGCCTCCTCAGGGTTGCTCTGACGTTGCCATCAGGGCCTGCACAGCCAGAGATTCCCCTGGGCAATGCTGCATTGCTGGGCTGGAACAGAGAACATTTAACAAAGCTGCCCTTTTAAACAGTGCTGCCCTGCACTCATCAGACTGTAGGTATTTGTGTTTATTAAAAATTAATTTGCATGTGAAATTATGTTCAGGCAGGATGAGGGAAAGCACAGGGCAGATGGGAACAGACAGAGGGACACTGCAGCTCTCCTGGCTCTGCACTGAGCTACAGAGAGCTGAGCTGTTTGCCCTCTCCTGTTTAAAGTCTTCTTACATTTGGCATCATAAAAATGATGATTTATACTCCTGACAAGAACAGGTACCAGATGCAACCATAAAAAATAATAAACACAGACAACATTATTTAAGGGACATGCTAAGCCCTTCCACGTCTTGAGAGTGGAGACTGAACATTTCCCTTAAAGGTGGATGATGCCTGACATCCCTTGGGAGTGTTTGATGCTGTGGCAGAGCAGGTCCATGTCCCCACTGGAGAAGGGGAAAACAGCCCTTGGCAGCACATGGACAGAGCTCCTGTTCCTCTCAGCACCCTCAGCCAGCACAAACAAGGGAAAGGAAAAGCCTTTCAGTTCAGGGGATTTCTATGAGAAATAAAGTGGCTTTGCTTAGAGGAGTCTGTCTTAACTTCTCCCTGTCCTTTCCTGTTTCTGAACAGTGTCCCTGTGCTGGGAAGCAGCAAATGGCCAACAGCAGCTCCATGCCCCAGTTCCTCCTCCTGGCATTCTCAGACAGGCGGGAGCTGCAGCTCCTGCACTTCTGGCTCTTCCTGGCCATCTCCCTGGCTGCCCTCCTGGCCAACGGCCTCATCCTCAGCGCCGTAGCCTGTGACCACCACCTGCACACCCCCATGGGCTTCTTCCTGCTCAACCTCTCCCTCACAGACCTGGGCTGCATCTGCACCACTGTCCCCAAAGCCATGCACAATTCCCTCTGGGACAGCACAGCCATCTCCTACATGGGATGTGCTGCACAGCTCTTTTTCCTTGCCTTTTTCATTTCAGCAGAGTTTTCCCTCCTCACCATCATGTGCTACGACCGCTATGTTGCCATCTGCAAACCCCTGCACTACGGGACCCTCCTGGGCAGCAGAGCTTGTGCCCACATGGCAGCAGCTGCCTGGACTGCTGGGTTTCTCAGTGCTCTGCTGCACACAGCCAATACATTTTCCCTGCCCCTGTGCCAGGGCAATGCCCTGGGCCAGTTCTTCTGTGAAATCCCACACATCCTCAAGCTCTCCTGCTCACACTCAGGATACCTCAGGGAAATTGGGCTTCTCTTGTTTACTGTCTCTTTAGGACTTGGTTGTTTCATTTGCATTGTGTTCTCCTATGTGCAGATCTTCAGGGCTGTGCTGAGGATCCCCTCTCAGCAGGGACAGCACAAAGCCTTTTCCACCTGCCTCCCTCACCTGGCCGTGGTCTCCCTGTTCCTCAGCACTGGCACATTTGCCTACCTGAAGCCTCCCTCCATCTCCTCCCCATCCCTGGATCTGGTGGTGTCAGTTCTCTACTCAGTGGTACCTCCAGCACTGAACCCCCTCATCTACAGCCTGAGGAACCAGGAGCTCAAGGATGCCCTGAGGAAAATGATGACTGGATGCTTTTCAGGAGCAATAAAAAACCAGTTTTCTGGTGCATAGCATTCAGAATGGGACTCCTTAATGGCCCAACCTTCCTGCTCAGTATTTTCATGGAGGTCATCAGGTTCTTCTGGCAATATTTCTGTGCAATTAAATATTGTTATACATCTGCCTTCTAATTTAGTTTCTATTCATTGAATTGGACCCAGAGATATATAACTGATGAATTGTACTCTCTGACTATTTTAAAAAAATAAAGGACCCTGCAGTGCACTCTTTGTCCAAGACCCTTCTTCTTAGATGTTCTTACAGGACAGCACACTGCAGGACAGGGGGTATTTGCAAACGGGAAGGGGACAATAATCCCAGCCCAGCAGCACTGCCAGGGATCAGCAGTGCTTGGTCTTTGCAGAGCTGCTCTCTTTCCACTTCCACACTGTCCTCCTGAGCCCCTTTCTCGCTGTAAGGCCTGAGTGCTCTCTGAGCACAGTCCTGGGGGCTGGAAGCCCTTGGAGCACAGGCAGGGACAGGCCCTGGGAACTTCTGAAGCAGAGCTGGGCTCCCTTACAGCATCTCCAGGATGCTGTGGGATCTTCTGAGAGCAGGGCATGTACTGGGTCACTTCTCCTGAGACCTTGCTCCAGGGCTGGAACTCTCCTGCAGTGTCACCATGACACTCCTGCTCTCTGCTTTCCAGGTTTCATTTTCAGATCCAGTCTTCCCCTCCTGTTCCCAGGGACATCCTGGGAGTGCTTCAGAGCTGCCATCCTGGGGCAGCTCCTGCCCAGCGTGGGCAGGCACAAGGTCTCTCCAGCTGCTCCTCTCCCCTCCCCAGTGCCACTGTTTTCTGCAGCCTCCTCATCCTTGCCCAGCACAGCCCTCCTGGCACAGTTGGACACAGCCCTTGTTCTACCCCCTCCTCAGGCACCTGCCCAACTCCCTCAGCTCCAGCCTGATGGCCAGAAACCTTCAGGGCAGGGAGGCACGGGGCAAAATGCTGAGGAAACCTTTCAGCTGCACTCAAATCCAATTGGAGGGGTTGGACTCGAGGAAGAAATCCCTTCCCGTTCTCCAGAACCACCAGGACAACCTGTGTTGTGTCCTGGGCACTCCTCTGGAAGTGTGGGCTATGGAAAAGGTTTTGGTGTCAGGGATATTGAGAAGGCTGGACAGTGTCACTGGGAGACCTCTCCCAAACCCTTGGAAAGGCCAGAGCCATCCCAGAGCTTCCTGGGGCCTTGGCAAAGGCAGACATGGAACCAGTCTGCAAACAGGGCAGCAAGGAGAGTTGGCAGAGTTCCAGACTGCTCAAGCTGGGAAAGGAAGGGGATATGACAAGTCCTCCTGCAGCCATTGCCAGGCATGGGAAGGACAAGGCAGGGATTGCAGAACCCCTGTGGGAGGGAATAGAGGATGTTCTGTGCCCAGACTTTATCAAACCCCTTGACATGGTCTCCTGTGGTCTTCTTATGGCCAGATTGTTGAGCTGGACTGAAGAAGTGGAAGATGTGGTGGTGAGAATTTGGCTGAATGAAAAGTGCCAAAGAAAATCCATGGTACAAAGTCCTCTTGGCAGCAACTTCCTGATGAAATCTCTCAGTGATCAGGCCTTGAACACCACTATATAACATCTTTACTATCTCTCTGTGCAATGGGACAAAATGTATTTTCAAATCCTTTGTGAATGATTCCATATTTCAGGGAGCCCTTGAAATGGTTTAAAGACACATATTGGGGTGGGAACTCCAATCAAATGAACTCACTCCCCTTTTATTCCCCACCAATACAGGGAGACAAAATACAAGGAGGCATAAGTAAAAAAATAAGAGTTTACTGACAAGAAATACAGTAGCAAAACCAGCAATACCAACAGAACTATTCAAAGCAACAGCAGAGAGAGAATTTGCCTCCTCTCTACCCATCTGCCCCTGATGGACCCTGCCGGTCCGTGCGGCAGCGGGGGGGAGGCAGCGGCTCTGCTTGATTCCATGGAGTTCTGGGGAGGCACAGTGGGTGCCATGAGACATTTCAGTGTCACTATGGCCCCTTGGTTCCACGGGGTTCTGAGATGTCTCAGAGTTCCTTTGGTTCCAAAGAGTCATGGAATGGGCCCTTGTCACAATGGTCCCTTGGTTCCCTGAGATTCCACAGTGTCCCTGCATTCCTTTGGTTCCATGAGGCCCTGCAGTGTCACGGTGCCACTTGATTCCGTGACATTACAAAGAATCAGAATGGCCCCTTGATTTAAGGCCAACTGCACATGGGGCTGCCTTGGGGGGAGTGTGGGCACCCAGACAAGGGAGTTGTCACCCCCCTGGACTCAGCCCAGGGGTCACCACATCTGGACTGGTCTGTCTGTCTGTGAGGTTCCCCATTCTGGAGGAAGGAGGAAGAACTGGAGAGGGTCTAGAGGAGATCTGACAGGATGGAGCTTTTCTCCATATTGGAAATAGAATGAAATCTCCACAAAGAGTAGCATGGAAGGTTCAAACTGAGGGTGAGGAAAAAGAAATATCACTCAACGGGGACCTTTGTTCTGCAAGAGGTCACCCAGAGGGAGTCAGGATCAGCCCATGGCTTTGTGTTCCAGGGAACAGCCAGAGCTGGTGCAGAGACATCAGGGAGGGTCTAGAAATGCTGCTGGGAGGGGGTGGGAAAGCAGGAGGGGTGTGTGCAGCCTGCAAGGCCAGAGCAGCAGCAGGGCCAGGGCAGGACAGCCTGCAGGAGAGATGGCCAAGGGCTCTGGCAGGGCTGCAAGGCCCAAAGGCACCCAGGCCTTTGTCCCCTTGCCTCTGGCAGCTGCCTCTGCCACTCAGGCCACCACAAGCAACTTTCCTGGCAGGTTCTGCCCTTGGGTTCTGCCTCGCCCCTCCCTCAGCAGCCTGGCAGGGGTTGCCCAGTTTTGGGCCTTTGTTGTTCCTCCCCCTCCCATCCCAGTGCCCCCCAAACAGCCCTGAGCCAGCCGGGAGGGACAGGATCTGCTGGGCCAGGGCCTGGGCTCAGGCCTTGGCCTTTGTGCTCCACAAAACCAAGGCAGGCTTTGCTCAGCATTGCAGGGGCCTGCCCAGAGCCTTTGTCTGCCTGCACTCCTGGCCTCCAAGGAGCTGCTCCAAGGAGTCCCTGGGGAGGCTTTGGCAGTGCCTGCCCTCAGTGGGGCCCAGCAATGCTTCAAGGCACTTGCACTTTGGCTTCTGACTTCTTCAGCAGCTGCTTCAATCTTCTCTCAGTACCTCAGGATCATGGACTGGGCTGCAAACACCCTGTGGGGCTCATTAAAATGCAGAAATCTCTCAGGATCTCTTTGTTTTCCTTTAATTGTCTTCAAGGCAATTTCAAAACAAGTCTTCGAAGTTTGTACTTTTTTTGTTTTAATTCAATTAGAGATATTTTTAAGTTCAGAGAAGAGGTGATAGAGGTGTTCTCCAAGTGATCTTGATGCTGAGTGTCTCCTCAGGAGATCCACACTGACCCTGTCTGATCAACCTTGCTCCTCACCCCCCAACCTCACCACTTCTGACATGGCCTATCTTGGACTGATGCAACTCCAAAGACACTTTGGGACCATTAAAACACAGGAAAACAAATTATTTTCCTTTCTTTTAATTGTCTTCAAGTCATCAAGATTTCTACTGCTAATTGGAGTTGTTTTGTAGTTTAGCTAAGGAGGAAGATTTTAAAGTGGAAGTCATGAAAAAAAAATATATTTTTTGATGAAAGAGAATGATTTACACAGTCTTGGGTCAGGGTGCAAAGGATTTTGATCCAAAGACAAGGAGGCAAAAGACATTAGTAGCACTTACTCATTGACCTATTGAACAATTATCAAGTGATTCAATAGCATGTGCAACAATTTTAACAGTGACTGAATTATAGATTCACAATAACAACCTTCACACCACAGTCAATTCAGACCCACACCCAGGCAGAGATGTGTGGACGCATCAAGAGCCGGGTGTGGAAAGGTCTCTCTCCCAAATTCTCCTTGTTGTCAGGGAAACACTCCCCCAAATCCCTTTGTGTTTCCCACCAGACAAGGGTCACAGCTGGAGGAGTGTTTGTTGAGGGGGATCAGAATTGTCCTGGACATCAGTGAGGGTCTTTGGAGTGTTGCAAACTGGAGGGTTCCCGAGCTGGGAGAGGCTGCCAGAGGTGTCCCACTGAGAGGGAGGTGCTGGGGAGCTGCCAGGGCCTCCCTCAGCCCCGCTGCTTGTGGGTTCCCAAGGGGACTGGCTTTAGTTATCTGCTGAATTTCCCTCCTGGTGTCAGGAATGACTGGAGTTTCCAAACTATTTGGGAATTGTATCCAAACTGTTCCATTAGGGCTGTGATTCAGGCAGGGAATGTTCCAAGGCATTCATGGGATGACTGATTATCCTGTGTTCCCCAACTGTTCCACTCTGGATTGTTCCCACCTGTATCATCCAGGAGCACCTGGTCCAGTCCAGGGACATTTCCCCACACCCTTGGTCCAGTCCAGGGACTCTTCATTGCTCAGCTGGTTTGTTCAGGGCTTGTCAGGAGCTCCTGAGATCGTCGACCAGGCCTGAGGAGAATGGGGGGAGGATGCACAACCACAGAGGCTTCTAAGAAAGATGTGGAAAAACATTTTGTAGGGCCTAGATATGGTGTGATAGCATAAATCATTTTAAACTCAAAAATGGCAGGTTTGAAGTAGATATAACCAAGAAGTTTTTACAGTGAGGGAGGTGAAACACTGGCACAGATGCCAAGAGAGGTGATGCCTCATCCCTGGAAATGTTCAAGGGCAACTTCGATGGGACTCTGAGCAATGTGATCTAGTTGTGGATGTTTCTGCTTAGTGCAGAGGGTTGGACTTGATGAATGTCAAAGATCCCTTCCTACCAAAACTCTTCCATCATTCTACTGGAGCCAAGGCTGACAAGGATCTCCCAGGTTTCAGACTCAGCTGAGCATCCCCTTTGATGGCCCATCTGGCAGCTCTGCTAAAAAGCTGCTGCAAAGAACCTAAAGGAGCTTTGTGCTGGGCTGAG